AATTGGATTATGTATGAAGGATTAGTTCTAAACCATGTCTGCAGATTGTGTTCACGTTTGCACTAAACAGCAGCAAAGGCGCCTGACTGGCCTTTGGTAGAGTGCAGGACCAAAGAACCATCGTATCTAGGAATAAGTGCAACATACAGTCAAAATAAAAAAATAAATAAATGAGATACTAAGTAACAGCCATTATGAGGACACAGATTAACACACTGTATGCTCTCTGGGGAATGAGCAGCTCAGTTGATGCATGGGATCATCTGGACAGCGATCAGGGCTCACACGAGCTGAACAACATGAGCTTGTCATCCATTTTCTCAACATGGGAAATGTAACTCAGGGTCAGGAGGGAAGGGGGAGGGCACCTCGGATCAGTTCATCACACGATAAATGATAAGTCACTTTACAAAGGAGAAAAAATTAAGATAGAAGCTGCTTAGTGAGTTGAGAAAAGCAAACTAACAAAAAAAGTTAACTATTTTTTATGGTTTTAAACATTGTACACACCACAATAGTGTCACAGGCAACCGAATGTTCTATGACACTGACATGTGAGTCACACTCTTGTTTCAGGAGGGTTAAAGGCAACAGACATACAAGGCTGGTTTCACTTTCACTGCCACCAGTCCAGGCTGTGGAGGTCCACATGCCCCCGAAGAGGTGAGTGCATCTGTGACCTTTAATGCCACTGCTCTCTTTGTCAATTAGCTAAATGCCTCCAGTGCCGCGACAGGAAAGAGTTATTCGAGCTGAGATCGCAGAAAGGCCGTGACGCATGTGACACGTGTCTGTCCACTTAGCAGAAAATGTTGCTGAATACGCAATTCAGCCTTCAAATGATTTCAGAGATGTGCAGTGACAATTTTCCAGTCCAATAAGAACATTTCCGACAGATATTTTGCATTTATCAGACGTAAATGCACTGACACCTTTGACTTTTCTGTAAAGAACAAATCAAATTTGCCCAATTCAATTTCTACTTTAATTCATGTTGAGCAAATTAAAAGGAAGTTGACAGTTTTATTATGGCTAATACCACTGTGTAATCCAACCAGCCAACCCTCTCACATCATAATCTTCAGTGTAAACCTTCAAGAGCAGGTCTCCTTGTATGAGGCTAAAGCCTCTTCCTCAGCATAGCAGTAATCCCACTAAGGCTCTTAGAAAAGTGAAATTATTTCAGAATGAAAGGAGAGGCTTTATGGCTATTACGGTCTCACTGTCAAAGACGGCTAATAAATAAATATCTCGCCGCTCGTCTCAGGAACTAAGACAGATGGAAATGTCAGGACATATGTGTCAGATATCAGAAACGGGTGCTTTGGGAAAGGTGCATTTGACTTGAGCTGCAGCTCCAGGGACATCATGACTCATCCTACCCTCGACCTCATCTCCTTACGTCTACACACTCTCGCCTCCAAAACCAAACTGCTCCATGTCCACAACTGCTTGGACTGGACCTGAGTTCTTTTAGAGAAGATGGTAGCCCCCAAGAGAAGGTAAATAAAGGTCAAGTTCATTAAGGGGCGATCTGTTGGACATCCTGATGAGAGTGGAGGGAGGCTGTGGCAGCTGGTGGCCCATTGATCTTTCACTCTGTACAAGAGCATCTCCCCTCCACCTATTGATGGAGACAGATGCCAATAGGACGACCCTACGTCTCACATTTGTACCCACGTATCACACCCCATGCACAGTTGGAGCGAACACACTTTATCAAAGCCACTGCCTCTTGCTTCTCACAGCATGCATTTTTCAAGCGAGACAGATTTAGAAAAAGGAGGTTTTGCGAGCGGAGGATAATTCTCTAGAAATGGGCTGGTTTATACATCATCCTGCTTTCATTCCTAATGCTCGCTGTAAGGTTGAGTTTTTAATCTATTCGGTGTCCTTGCCTGGAGAGGGAATGTGAGACATCACAGCAGCTGAATATGCATGACTCCATCATGTTGCAAAGCCGCACCACTTCTCTAAAAGGACGGATGAAAGCTGATTTCCCCCTCTGACAGGTCCAGATGGGATGCAATGAGATGGGATTTGATCTCCATCCCTCCACAGAGCGAGAGGCCCGTGATGTCAGATGCAGGCCCGGACTTGACGCAGCGAGCCAAATATAGAGTAAATCAGATGTGGATGAAGATAATCCGGACTGTGAGATGACATTTAAGTAAAAAACGAAAAACCCGCATTTTGATATCAAACATCTTCACCGTCTGTGAAGTCTGTCAGTCATTGCTTTTGTCGACATAGGACGGTGTTCCATGGAGAAATATATCAAATGAAAACTGCCGGATATGACTGTTTGTAATATTCAGATACGACGCCGCTGTGTGCGTACCGTGTTGATAATATAGGAATAACACAAATCCTACATCGACTATGAGCGAAGCAAACAGCCAAACTGCAATGCACCGTCACAATTGATTCAGATTGTCTCTTACCTCGACGTCTTTCCACGCGCAATAGGACAACACGGCCACCAATATAGGAATTGCGGTATGTCCCATTTTCTCGACTTCTTCTGCGTCTGATTATGTTTTTTTTTTTTTTCTATGGCAAGTTCCTAATGTAAAATCACTGTTTCCAGCATACGCTGCCTGGTTGCGTGAGCCGGAGTGACGAACACTGCGTCCGTCCGTCCGTCAGGGGCTTCTCTGGTGTCTCCTGCGTCCTCCTGCTCGCTCTTGCCAATGGGCTCTCCAATGGCAGACTGAGCTATTACAGGGATGAAGTCTGCCAGAACCAAGCCCTGTTTCTGCGGGTATTTGTCAAAGACTTTGGTCAGGGAGTCCCAGCAGTGGCTTGGTAAAGAGAGACATCTGGTGGTGAGGGATCGAGAACGCACGGCTGGCTCGTCTGGTGGGTATTTCTATGGGGATGTAGATAATAATGACTTAATCACGATTGTTCCATTCTTGTGTTTAGAGTTCCTATTTTTTTGCAGAGCTGATTAAACACATACCTATTTGACAATATTCCGGTTTCGAACAAATTATTCCCAAAACTCATTGACAGCTGAACCCTCAAAAACTGTTGAGAGGAATTACATGAACAAAATGCCAATTACTATTAACTGGTCTATCTACAAAGATCTAAAAAAATATATATACCATATATATAGGCTAAGTAGTAGTAGTAGAATAGGAACAAATATTTTTACATTATATAATTGTTTGCATAAAAGAGTACAAGTTTCCTTGAAATATGCATACATTCATTTATTTTCATTTAATTTTTTGGCCATAACCCTTTTTTTCACATGCTCATTTGAGTGTTTTTTTAATTACCTTTCATTCATAGACAACCAAAAAACATCTGGCAGTGATCTATCAATAGTTTGCAAAATTATTTTTATTTGCCAACAACACTTTGAAGAATTTTACAATCAAAGAGCTTCTTGGTAGCATGCAATCAGAGCTTAGAGACAGGGTCAAAAAACACTCTGTTTTTATGGGCAAACAGGAGCTTTCTCAGCCTAAAATACTGGCCAGACTGAAGGTTTCTAAAGTGGCAGTGTGAGCCACTCATAAACACTAAAAAGGAGCAATGGTATTCAGAGCATGGTTAGGCCCTCCATCTGAACATTAACACAAAAAAGCAACAAATAAACAAATCCATCACAGATACATTTAGAGTTGGAGTTGGATTTGTTTTACAGGGGAGAAAGTGTAAAGAGGATTGTGTTATGTTACATTATCAAATACATGGTGAAACCTGGTTATTGCTACATTCAAACCATCAGTGTTCTACACAGGAATTGTGAGCCTGACCTGCACCTTTCTCATTCACAACAATGTAAGCAAAGACACGATTTGCCCTCTGCATATGCAGGAAATCTCCCTGTGGCAAGATAATAAGATAATCAGTCCTTGACACTTTGCAAAAGCTGTTATACCACTTAAGGGCCAGGGATGAGCAAAAAGTCATCAATGCGGTGGACTTTTTTTAGACTCCTGACCCCATCCCCAAGTGAGCAGAAATTACATCATTTAAAGACAGAGTTCCTTGGACCACTATCAGATTATTTGGTTTATCTGATTGAGGGAAAATGTCTTCAGCCATCCAATTTAAGTGTGAAATGTCTTGAAATCAAAGCAACCAAACAGCTAGGAATATGCAATTGTAAATTGGATCTTTTCTTATGAAGATTTGTGTTAAGTTTCAAACCATTTCAAAACCAAAGTGACATCACTGAGATCTAAGATCTTTCTAAATTGATTCACTGCAATAGTCTAAGAATATTCATACATATTATCAAATCAATCAATTCTTTTGAACATGACCAGGCATAAACCTAGTTCAAGTAATTTAAAGTTCATATGGCTTCCTTTTAAGGGTCAGGTCATAATACATAGTTTTGAATAGTTGCTCAGCAAATATTGCAAAACTTTTCATCTTGTAAAATATTCGAGAAATCTGAAATACACCCTGGTTTAACCCAGTTTTCAGAACTTTCTCTTTGTTGTAATAAATTGTTTCATTAACAGCTTCCTAATTCTCGATTAACATTGCGGAATGGAATGCCTCGTGTTTAGTCATCAGAAAACTATATTACTGAGTCAGGGGGAGCAAGAAAGGCCTTAAAGTATCAGCATTGTTAGAATGTATTAAAACATGATTGAAATAGCGTTTGGACATCCATCCGCTTTGTAAACTTCATTACAGAATGACAAACCGGCGACCTTATAGGTGAGACATTTTCCAGACTTATGAAGAAATGCTTTTCCAACATTTGCAGCAACACCTGCAAACGGTCAGCAGGGGGAACACATGCTATACAAATAAGGAGTAAACTGATTGTTGCAGTGGCTCCATGAACAGAGAAGAAAAATCAACATTTTTACAATAAATACACCTGCTGACAACGGTACAGAGCAGATTCAGTTTTTTTTTTTTTTTTACAGTCTGCCAAATAAATCTGAATAAAGATCTGATGAGGAGGAGTCCAGATTTTACGCGCGGGGGCGGTCGCAGCGCCTCAGGTAATCAGGGTGTGGCTTACGTCACAAGTTTCAGGTGTTCCAGCTCTCAGTGACAAGACGGAAACGTGAAAGAGGAAGAGATTTAGATTTTTATCGACTTTGAATATTTATACATTTTAGTTTATCAACCTAAACCTTTGGAAAGGGAGGCGTAGTGATAAGCCACACATTTCTACCGGATCCTGTTGGAATCCACTTGGATCTCGAGATGTATTCTGCAAGATACGACGTAAGTTTTCTGAGAACGGTTACTTTACAATTGTCATTAGGATAATTGGCATTGTATCATGATTTCTCACAATCACGCCTTATCACAACAAACATTTGCTTTTGGGCCTTTAAACAACCCGCAGACAGCAGCTGAAGTTGAGTGTTTAGCTGGAACAGGGCGTTCGCGTCACGGGTTTGCCTTCTCTGGCACATTTCAAACGCCTTCTCCAAGGAACTACCTACATGCTTTTATTTTCATTTTATTTTTTAACCGGTCCATTCGTCTCTGTTCTGGGGGGTCTGTGACCAACAATACGTCTTTTGCTCTGACATATTCCCGTTTTCAAAGAATGATTAAACAGTAAATGACTAAAATAGGACACACTTTTTTTGTGCTTCTTGATATTTATTTCGACCAGACAAATCATTTTTTCGTCGTAAGTTTAAGCATAAGTGATGAATACAGGTTTGTGGTAAATGTTTTCTTTCTTTTTAAACATTATAAGTTGAATCACTGTCTTCGTTGGTCCTGATCAGCTAAAGTAGCAGGTGGCTGAACTGGCTCTGAGGGGTCTGAAATACTCCCAGCAAACCTCTCTGTAGCTGGGGAGGAGTGCAGAATTTTAAACATGAATCTTCCTTGCCATGTTTATAATTATCATGGTAATATAAAGAGCTAATCCCATGTATGGGTGTAAGTTATAAAAACATGTAAACAGATTTCTTTCATTTACAAAATATGACTTACAATCCTGGCTGAATGAAAGTTATCCAATTTCCTGATTCTGAGAAACTGAGTCACTCGGAAAGTTTCATTCAAAATCTCCTAGAAACCTGCATGTGCCTCTAGGAACCTATCCACCTAGTCACAAGTCAAGAGATACATCAGTGTCAGATGTCCATTGTGAAGCCATACAATAGTATGCTTGGTATGTCTGGCCAGGAGTTGGTTCAGATTCACCAGATTTAGGTAATTGTTTTTGGCTAAAAGGTTTTGTGTTGCGAGTTATAGGTCAGGTTCTCCTGAAAGACACATGCATTATGCAAATGCCATTTCTTGTTATTTCCTACTGTTATTCAGTCTTGTTTGAAACTCCCAGATCACCAGCAGAGGATGTGGGCGTGGAAAAAAAAACCTGACTGACCGCCAAAGGTGAACTTGTTTGTGCAAAGGGCTTCATTAATGGTTACAAGGCTTTGGTCATAGCCGCTCACATTCCCATACCCCCAACCATTTAATTGACAGCTACATGTAAACAGCATTGGCTCCAGAGGAAATGCGCAATACTCTGTCTCAGTAAACGTACAGCTTAGAACGTGAGTAGACAAAAACAAGGCAATAGAAACAACATCTCTTGGGCACATCAAATCATTGGCATGCTGTCAGAACATTTACGTGTAAGGCATTTGGTGCAAGTGTTCCTACAGGTCGACTGCCTTTTTGAAGGCCTATCTAAACAAACACGGGTAAATGATGAGTTTTATATCGGCGTAAATCAAGCTCAAACATAGCAGTATTCACATAGGTTAGTAATCACTGCTCACCGGTCTGTGTAGGGATCAGGAGGACCTTCATTAGGAGCTGGTCTAGTATTAGAATTTTAGTGTTTAATTTTTACATTTAGGGCATTATTATCTGAGTCTGGTCATTTTTTTCTAGCAAAAGTTTATTTTGGTTACTTCGAAATAGGAGAAACCCCTGTGGATAAAAAATAAAATGATCACCTTATGATCATTAAAATAGATGAAGGCACATATTGATTTGCTGTTGCTTGAGCCTAAGACATGGGCTTGATATTTAATACAATTCAATGATAATATTCTTATATGGTGTTCAGGGTTTAAAAGGTCTGCTATACCTGTGATGGAGCAAGAAATGTATTTCCAAATATGTAATATATCTTATTATACGCAGGAAAAAATTCAGAGCACTTTTGAGCTACATGTAAAAAGCTTCAAAGCACCATAACCACTCTGTGCTTGTCTTAATGTTGAAGCTGAAGCAAATTTAAATCTGTGGTTCACCTGAAACTACTGTCAAATGAGCATTTTCTTCCTTTGTAAATATTTGATTTCTCACAGGCAGTGTTAGTCAATCTTTGATACTGAGATTAGGACTACTTTGATTAATGTCGTGAGACTGAATGTGCTGAATGTTCTCTGAATGTGCTGACTCACCAGAGCAGTTGGCAAATCATTTTTTAAAGAAGGCCTTAGTTCTGCTTAGCCCTGTTTCCTGTTTATGTTTTTTTTTATTTTATCAAACTGCTAGTGTAGTAAAGGGAGTGCTGAAAAGATCTTATCCATTATCTGATACATCCTGGATAAGATTTGTCAATTTTGTCTGCATATTTTGTGCTTAACAGGCCTACATGAACCCGATGAGCTACTTTAGTGTTTGCCTCCATCTGCGTATTTTCTGGGCAGAATTTCCGTCTGGGCTCAGATTGATCAAACTTTTGTTTATCCTTCAGTCTTTCTCTTATTACTATAAAGAGGAAGCATTCATTTATGACTTCTGCTTTCAATGGTTCACCCAGTCTCAATTTCCATATGATGATATGCAGCTGTGGAACCACTCTTTAGCCTCTTTTAGGCTTTTCACTGCTCTCCTTTATTTGCGTGGCATCCTATTGTCATGACAGTCACCAGAGCAGTGTGTTAACTTGATTTCTAATAACCTGCTCACAGGAATACAATGGCTGTAGTTTTTGAATAATGCATAGCAACCTATGTCTAATGCATGTTTCACTTGGATTGCAGCTGTGTATTTACAGTAATGCAAGTCAAACATCACAAACATAATGCTGATCTTTCAATCATCATAAAAGGTGTAGAAGTGCCTCTTATTTGTGTAGCTACCTTTCTACACATGGAACAGCTGTTGCACAGAAGGAAAGGTAGTCGTCTGTTCATCAGAACTTTCGTGATTTTACTTCCAGTTCTCTGTGTCATGTGTCCTTGAGGAAGACCCATTCGGACCAATGAGACCATTGGTTGGTGATTATGTGTGATTATAGAAAAAAAACACTGTGTAACATGCTCAGACTAAAACATGCTGTGAGTTAGTGTGGCTTGCTTTGTCAAAGCACCTTCAATGGGTAACTAGACTAGAAAAGCAGTACAACTGTGTTGTCTATTCCCATTAAGATATGTTTTGCACAAACCACATCACACTTGACATGCCAATAAGAAATTAAATAGTAACATAATATGTTATAAGATACCTTTTCATCTATCTGAATGCTTGAGTGATCAACACAATTTGAGGTGCTGTCTGTGGATAGCAAGTATTGCACATACTGTGGGCTCGATCAGTCACTCGCAGACATGACAGCAGAAAAACCCAGGAACAATTAATTGTTAAATTTCTACGGGAAAGAATGCCATTTTTTAAAACAAATTGATGATGCCATTAATGTTACATACATCTTGTCTGAGAAGGACCATAGTGTGCCATGTTTAGCCAAGGAATGTGAGTGTGTGTGTATGAGTGTTTAAAGATGAATTTCAATAAACTAACTGTGCTATCAAGGAATATGATATTTTATAAATGAAGATTCCATATTTCTGATGTACAAAAGTTGTTTTTCTTTAAATCTATTTAGAAAAGAAAATGCAAAAAGAAAGTTGAGCAGAGACTGAAGCGGATCCATTAACTCAGGAGTCTGATATCCGTTGTCTCAGCACAATCTGTGTGTAAAAACTAAATATTTTTTTAAAAATGTCTGACGCACATCATATCCTTGAAAGCTTCATTGCTCTCAGGCCTTAATAATATTGTAAAGTCTAATCTTTTATTTGAATTGTAGAACCACAGCAATGAGTTGCATCCATCTTTTTAACAGATATAAATTGTGAGGCTGGTGCACATGTGTAGGGAAAAAAATAAGACTGATAAAAATGGTTGTGCTTTGGTAACATGCTCGTCACACCCAATTAAGACCAACAGTCAGTGGGCTCTAAAATGGGTTAGGACTTGCTCATCTGAGTGTCTGACATCATCTGGTTTGTCTGGTTGAATGAGGACCAGTGTGACTTATCACATTAGTAATTACTCTGTTTTCTGGGAGTTTAGTTTAGTCAAATGTGGCAGTGAATCAGTATGACAAATGGCCGTCCATTGAAACTAAGGCAGGTGAATGCAATTTAGTGTCCATGGAAACTTTAAACTATCCGGTTTGGTGGGCTTTTTCTTTAAAGTTTATATGAAAAAGTGCTTGTATCAATAAACTGATATGCCGACTATAGAGTTCAAAATAAAGAAGGAAACAATGTTTTTTTACAGCATTTTTTTAAGGCAAAATCCGTTTGAAAATACATAAAGCTAAATTACATTAATTTTATTTAATTTTGACTTATACGCCTCTCCATAAAGCACTAAACATTTGGTAGACATTACAAGGTGGGTCTTATCCAAGGGGTTGACAGAGGATATAGAGAGGACTCTTCTATCCACAACAACCCACTGCTTGCACGTCAGCCAGCTTATTTTTTTTTTGGGTGGACCACACCTTGTGGTAGGTTATTCTACTTGTCTGACTGGTTAGGTCATGTAGAAATTCTCAGAGGCAACTTCTTTACTTAGTCTCCTTTTTCTTGTCAAACATTAATAGCTTTTCAAAGTTTGTGTCAGGGTTTTTTGGCTTTTCAACGAATTATGACCTGAAAAAAAGACAATTCTATCACAGATTCAAAGATAAGATAGTGTGTCTTTTTAGTAGTGAAAAATGGAATGTGATGAAGAGTTTGTAATGGTTTTATTAAGTTGGATTGTGGATGATTGATAAAGAGCAGCCCTGGGGCACTTGCTGACCCCATATCTAATGATCCCCCTCATTCTGGCCTATGATTGCTGTTACAGACTCCAATTAGAAGGCATGTGTGGAAGCCTGAGCTGGGCAGGCATAGGCCCTAATTGCTATGAGTTATCATCTAGACTCATGTAATTGAGCCCCTATCTTAAGGGGCAGCACATCTGACAAATTGATTTAATACCAAAGTGATTCTCCATCCCTAATGGCACTTGGGCTTCTTCACTCATAGGCTACAGGCACTAAATTCATTGTGTGTTGATTACTAACTGGCCAAAGCTCTTTCTCTCAGTCCACCCACTTGTGAGGGCTCAACAGCAGACACACACACAGCACTGACAGACACACGTTTCCTAAAGCAGCATGGCTGCGTTGTTGTTATCTGTTTGTTATTCTGTATTTTGTAGAGGCATGTAATGCATAGAACCATTGAGTTAGGACCGTGATGGCCTTGTCAGAATTGCTAAACATGGTTTCGCAAACAGATACTAGCTGCATGTCTGAGCTTGTCACTCTTGCCAGAGGCATCCCACATCTCAGCAGTTGGCTCCTAGCAGTTACACCATTTTCCTCGATTACACTGAGGGAATTTCTGTGGAATAACTCGAGCAGCATGACCACTGGGCAGTTTCATGTTTTTTGTTAATGGTCAACAGGGTTGTGAAACACTCAAGGGAAAAGTAATGGAAATTAATTGGAAAGACTTGATTATTTATATCTAAATAAAAAGCGCTGTCAAAGTATGTTTAGAGGTTGTCGTGGATGTCCTCCTGACAACGTAGTGAATTATTCTAAGTCTTTAAAAAATACTAAGTTCTTGGAGAAGCAGTTGAAAAATCTCAAACAGTGGTCAAAAAGAAGCAGAGGCAGCTGGGTCTCGGTCCAGAGTGGTTTATTGCAGCAAATACAAGTCAACCACATGAGCTGTTAGCCAGGCTAACACCTGTTCTCTTGGGGAAAGTGGTCTGCTTATATACACTCCCTGGGTCTTGGGGGCTCCTCCCCGAGCCCCTCCTATTTATGACGTAATTTCAGGTCATATTCCACGGATATCTCCGTTAATTGATTTTGTACCGGTGGAAATTACCCTAGGATGTGCTTTTCTTTTTACAATGGGTAGGATGTGCATTTTTTTTTACAATGGGCAGGATGTGCATTTTTTTTTACAATGAGCAGGATGTGCATTTTCTTTACAACGGGCATCCTTATCCCACCTTCATGTCTGCTCGCCATTGCTCATTCCAGTCATTGTCCAGTATCTACCAATGGTTTCAATGGTGATACACACCATTGACCCTCTGGTTACCTCCACTCTCATTATTTTCTTATTCAATTAGTTTGGCATCTGGACCTTGGCTGTTTCCACCGCCTCCCAAACTATCTCCCTATTTACTCCCTAAATACTGTGACATGACTATAATTACTGTCACCTGAATATATGCATTCCGAAGCAATAATCCACTACAATGTGCACTTCATAGACTGTCCAGACACACACGCAACTCCTCAGACACATGACCATGGTAAAAAAGACTTGAATATAACCATTTGGGAGTAAGTTTCATAAGCTGTCTTGAAGGCTTCATGCCTAGATAAAACTATAGCTACCTCTGTCAGACTGGTGGATGAGGCATACGGGTATATAAAGCAACTATCGAGCTAGTTGTAACTTTTTGTGTTAAAGATGAACCAAAAGCATAGAGGAAGAGTATTGCGTTGCTCTGCAGATAACGAGGGCATCTGTCTCAGTGGGTCCTCCAGTTCACAACTAAGGTTTCAGTTGTTGATATTGAAATTTCACAATCTCTTAGAGATTTTCTTGGGCCAGTACACCCATTAAGTGCAAATGCAATATTCTTCTGAATCAGCCCGGCCACACACAAAATGTAGATTTTGTACTTGTCTCGAGGAATGAGATATAAATAAGTGTCAAATACAGTTTATTAAATGTGGGTTCTTATTTTTATAATTTAAAAGTTTGTTTTTATAATTGGGCTGGGAGATGGTGTAGTGCACTGTTCCCTCACAGGAAAAGAGTCTCCTATTAACATCCCCATCAGGCCATGTCCATTTTCATTTTTTCCCTCTATCCTACTGTGGTAACTGGGGTAGCCTTCTGTCTCCCTGTGACCCTGAGTTGGACTACGTGGGTAAAGCAGATAGGTTTCAGAAAGTGCAAGCCAAGTGTCACGTGCTGTTTATCTGCTGACTCTTTTTTTTCTTGTCTTTTTCTACATCAGAGCCAGAATGGGCATCATGAGCGAATCGATTTCTTAACCAACAAAGAGAAAGTGTCGTCCAAACAGAGAACATGCATCGTTGTTGGTGTTCTATTGGCATTTCTCCTCCTCGCAGCTGTGGCGGCATTCCTCATTTGGTTTTTTGTCTGTGAGTATTTCAAAGGTTTTCTTTCATTTGTCATATTCTGTGCAGTGTCAGTAGTATCAGTACCCCATATCAGCTGTGCAGAGTACAGCTGGTATGGGGACAATTACCACATGATAGACAATCTGTGGACATCTCTGCACATAAATCAAAGATATTCTTGATGGATGTAAATGAGAAATTCAAGTATTTGCATTCATTCCATCACTTACTCCCAGAAAGGCATAACATCATAAAAACTGTAAACTACATCATTTACACTTCCTGTGAAGGCAGAGCTCTTTGATATAAAAGTGTAAGAGTGGCATGTTTGGACTCTGTGATTTCCCATTAGTGTTAGCCTAATTGACAGCTCTGACGCTTTCCTTTAATAATGCAAAGGAGAAAAATGCCATGAATCCATGGCACAGTTTTCTTGTCATTTACACTCCCAGTGCCTAATTTAGAAGGCCTCCGAAGTCTCGAGAAATAGCATCTTGATTTAACTGGCTAATTTAATTGCTCCAAAAAGCCAAACTGTCTTCACGGTAAGAGATTGCACCATGCAGCTGTGGACTTGACTTCAAGGCCTTTTCAAAAGTTTCCTCTTTCATCAGTGACAGCCATCTTGTAGTATTTTGTTGATCAAAACCCTGACTCTCATATACCTCTCTCCTTCAAGTTAAAGATCCAGATTCAGAAAGCACCTTAAGTAAGAAGCTCATTCCATCAACACAAGTGTTCAGTGGACATATGAAGCTGGTCAATGTGCCATATGACCAAAAGCTTGAGGACACAGATGGGCAAGAATTCAAGGAACTTTCTCAAAAATTGGAGGAAATGGTGAGTATGACATTCAAAGACATATTCCCCATTTCTGTTATGCTGCATACGTTGTTGCTGTTGACTATTTTGAGCAAAATACTCTGTTCTTTTCTCTTGTTAGGGATTAACTTTGAATGTTGCCTGTGAGTGCTTTTTAAATCTGGCCCTCCAGGAGCACAGAAACTGCTTTAGGCACATTTGTGTGGGTGAAAAAATAAAATGCTCTGCATTCCCTCAGCACTTTCCTCAATGTATTTGATGCAGTGAAGATGTTCATAACACTACTTAACATGCTGATAACAAAAAAGACCTCACTCAAAGCCTTCTAGCACACAATTTGTGAAAAATATTACACATTATTTAAGGTGTAGGGTGAGATTTTAGGACAAAGTTGTGGACAAATGACTAAATAATTGACAAAAAACCTTTGATGTACAAGATACGCTTTTTTCAAACATCGGTTTATAAAGAACGTTTTTTTATCCGATGAAATCTTTGTAACACTGCAAGTAAAATGTGGAGTTTGTAAGTAGTGCGTGTCTTGATTTTAACCATTTGTGCCAGTAGTTTATGCTGCTCTGTAGCACCACCTGTCGGACATTTCTGAACTCATTTCTGAAGTTTTACCTAGCTGGCCTCCCGACTCATACTTAGGATCTAAACTTTTGTATTGTTCTCACTTTTTATCATTTTGTAAACACCAACATCTTTTTCAAGATGTCACATTGCAGGAGATGTAATATATAATCACTGCAAGTTACAAAGGTTGAGAATCTGTCATTTAAATTCCACACAGTATTACTACAATGGTGGTGAACATATATTAATTTTTTTGTAGATAGTGGGCCAGGGATCTTCAGCATGTTCTTCTGAGTACTTATAAAAGCAACTGTTCTCTCCACAGTTGGGGAAAAGCTACCAGAGTGATCCATTTCTGACTAAATACTACTCGAAATCTGTGGTCACTGCATTCAGGTATTGATACCTTCTTACACTCAATGTTTCCTAAGGCTGAACAACTATTTGCAATGCTTGCAGTTTTGGGATGATTTAGAAAATAGATCAATATAGAATAATTTGTTGCTCTAGCCTCTGTAAAGAATAAAAGTTTCAATATTGCCGTTACAACCAGTTTCATGGTAGTAAATCGCAACAGTTCACACCTTGTGATGCGGCATAGTATGGATGCAACCCAGCCATGCAGCTACAGTTAGTCTTGTTACGTTTATATGTAAAGCACTTCACATTGCCAGGAACTGGATAAAATCAGCAATATATACTGATAATCACTCACAAGAAAGGTGTTAGTATAATTGTATTAGAAATGTATGATCTGCAAGATAGGTTTAAGAGAGAAAGTACATTTGATGCTGTCTTTGATAGGTGTCTGAAATTCACATTTTTGTCATGAAGTTATCAAGTCTTGTTTCCTTTCAAAATTATTTTTAAAATTATATTGTTGGAAATAAGGCGTTGTGTGGAATGGTACCGTTTGATGCAACAAAGATGCACATGCTGTTTTTATTTAAAAACTTGAAAGAAGCTTTTTCAATAAATGGTATCTCTTTTAGATATCCAGTGTCTGGCAATGGCAGTGCACTGGTTTAGATAATCACTGGGTAGAGATGGTTTGTTTAACCAGATTTTTGTATTACTGTGTGTCATCAGCATAGAAATGACATCCTTTACATAATGTCTAATAACAAACTCCAGAGGAAGAGTGTAACATTTAGAGAGCAGAGGACCAGGGAGTGACCTTAATCCAAATGAGCTGTGTCATACTAAAGCTTCATTAGTCTCAAATGTTGAAGATCTTGTAATGAATGGTTTCTCTTTGCTTTTTTCCCATTTCTTACCTTTGCTTACAACAGCGAAGGCGTGATAGCCTATTACTGGTCCATGTTTACCGTTCCTGTCAGTGACCTGGAGATCTTGCCGGAGTTGTCGGAGGAGCGGGTTTTGGATGCACTTGAAGGCGGCTTTAAGGAGCGTCGCAGTTCGACGCAGGCTGGGGATATCCAGATCAGTGAAGTCACTGCATCACGTAAGTACCACCAAGACCAGATGGGTCAGGCCACACGGAGGGGGGGGGGGAGATTTTAAACACAGCCAAAATGTCCCCACAGCCGATTCCAGGATAAGACAATTAGCAATATGTGAATAAAAGAAGAACCGTGAATATAGAACTGAAAAAGTCCTTGCCATGTCCTATCAATGTTGATTTTCTGTTTGCTCCCTCTTTTTTTATTACAGTAGCTTGCTCTGAGTTGTGCTGATAAGATAATAACGGATAAACCAGACCTCTCAGCTTGTGCTGCATCTGAGATTGCACATTTTATGCTGTTTGGATCCTCTAATGATATTAGCTGGGCCCTGGCCTGCCTTGAGACAGCCATTTTTCTTCCTTCTGTCTTCTCAGCATTCACATTGCATTTGTCGACATACTGGCCACCAGCCAAGCCCTGGCCCTGTGACTCAGTAGTTTTGGTCCTCCTTAAAATGATTTCTATGGGAATGATCTGATGTTGCTGTCTTAGATAGTTAGACAGAGATGTATGAGTTGCTGCTGTAGGGCAAGGTGAGATGGAGCAGAAAGAGCTACAGCTCCCGCAACCGCAGGAAAAACCGAACAGAAAAAAGTGCAGAACAAATATTTTGGGCTCATGCATCAAATTATATCAGCCTTCCGATTTTGGTGACCCATTCTTACCTTTCCTCCTGTTTCCCTGTCACCCCGCCCCCGTATCTGTGTCGCCAGTCACAGACGCTCGCATGGCCAGGAGCCCCACAGCTGGTAAGTACAGTATGTCCTATTTCAATCACTTGTAGCAGTAATTTTCCAGCTGGCTAAATGCTCCCCCTCCTTGCCAGCCTGTAACAAATGATTGGCCTGACCTGTTCTGTGCCTGTGCGGCTCCTGTCAGAGATTAAGATCCCTGCACCAGGCCAGGACATTTCAGTCACTATGTTAAACAATACACGCACAGCTATAGCCTTTTGATGGAATGGTATGTGCTGTTACTTTGAATCGTAAAACATAATTCATTCTTGACGTGGAAAATCTTTTTAAAAGATAATAACGACGATCAAACCAAGTTTGAACACTTCTTTTTTTTTTTTAACTGTGTCCGTGAAATAAGGAGTGATGTTACTGTTTTCAGAGGAATGTTTCCACCGCCTGGAAGCTGTTGAGGAGGCTCAAAAATTTCAATCGCCAGGATTCCCCAGCGGCTACCCAGCCAAGTCGCGGTGTCAGTGGCAAATCCGAGCGTCAGAGAACAACGCTATAACCGTCAATTTCCCATTTTTTTACACTGAAGACGACTGCACCAATGATTTTGTCATGATCTTTGACTCTTTGAGTCCTGATGATTCTCAGGCAATTACAAAGTAAGTAGAGCAGGGAATGTCCTGTGGGCTCACATCTTTTACAATTTATCCTTTTAAATGTTGTCCTTCATATGTCAGATTATTTTATTGTATGTCAGATTATTTCTGTTACTCCCCTCCTGCTAACCAATCCTGTTGCTTTGAAGAGAGATTTTATCAAAAAAAGAAAAACAATAGTCAAGTCACTCAGTTTTCTTTCTGTGGATTGAATTCTGATAGACGTTTCGTTTCCATTTTTGTCGTAAACCTTCAGAGCAGGTTTTATTTGATAGGCCTCAACTAACATTTGCCTAATTTATGTTGCCTGGAAGATCAGAGAGATTCCAAGAAGACTTTGTATTTGACAAACGTTTCAAAGGGATCTTGGAATAAATGCTGTTTTTATGTGGGAGGAACATTTGAATCACTTCATTCCCTTCACTCGAATTTTGATTACAACTTATTTTTTTTCTCTTTCTTCTGAAGCCTTTAGTGCTCTGTGTCATTTTATTGTCAGCTTTTGAGACCTCAGTGAGATTGAGTTGGCTCAAAAAGACCTCTCCTTTCAAATCTATGAAAGGTGCCAACCTGAATCCGACTACACCACTGTGTGTAATTTCACTTTGTCTGTGGGGGATGTTTTTTTTGTGTTTTTTTTCCTTCCATGAAACTGCAGGCTGCTGAATGTAGCATCAGTTGTAGCTGCAGGCAATTTAAAACTCAGAAATCATTGCCAAACAAATACATGATACCAAGCGATGCATAACATTTTTATAATGCTATTGAGCGATCAGCTTTATCCAAGGTGACGTGGGGTTTATGAGAGCCATAATATAATACTCTATAATGATATTATTCTGCTGGAGGTAGATGTATTGCTTCTCTTGCAGTGTCATTCACACCTTCATGGATCTGCCGCCAGCAATGCTGGGGCATTTTTTGTTAATGTACTTAATGTTTGACTTTGAAATTCCTCCTAAGCAATTTCTAGTTAGTGCTGACTCTCTTTATTGCTTTCTTTGTTCATTGCTGAAATTGTATGTATTTTTTCTTTCCCCTTCATTTTTGCTTTACTTGGTGTTTCCTTTGAAAGAGGCACAGATGTATTTGAGTTCTGTCAGTGTTACACATGCTGAGAAAGATTAAAGTCTTTTTTAACATGTTAGGCGTCAAAGTTGCATCAAAGTTCTATTTTTTGCTTCTCATTAGGAGCCCCTCTTTCCAAGAATGTATCTAATCTGTTTACAATCTTTAACGCTCATTGTTCTCTCTCAGGAATTGTGGTCAGAGACCTCCATCCAACCGTCTGCAGGTAGTGTCATCTGGAAACATCATGCTGATCACCTTTATTACGGACACCGATATCCAAAGGCCTGGTTTTGAGGCTGAATATAGCACCATCCCTCAGACTGATGGTAATTTTGAAATTCTGTTGTTTTAATTAAAAAGAAAAAATGAATTTGGAAGTAATTTTTTTTCACTACTTTGTTCATACTAAACTATACAATTCAGTTATACTCCATCCCAGCTATTTTAGTTTGGTTTCTATTTAAATGTATTTCAAAAGTTCATGTGCAGCGATGTAATGTGAGTTGGTTAAATATGTTTCAGCCAAAAAGTGTGGTGGTGTCCTTTCTAATGGCAAAGGAACCATTACCTCACCTCTGCATCCCAGCTTCTATCCACCTGCTGTGGACTGCAAATGGACGATTGAGGTTTGCAACACTTCTCTTCCTCCATACTGACTTGTGCTTTAGCCCCTCCACCTCCTCCCTTCTCTACCACCATCTTTAGCCTGCCACGGGAGGAATGCTGAGACAGCACTATAGAAGCCAAGCTGTTCAGTACCTCTTCTATCTTCATCTGTCAGACTGCTGTTGCTGCAGCAGCTCTGGCTGAGCTGCAGTTTTTTGTGTGGGGGGGTTGTTTGTTTGTGAGCGTGTGTGTGTAGTCAGGTGGATACACGTCCAAGTGTGCACTGACAGACTGTTATGATGTGATGAAGCTAGTGCGAGGGCCCATTTTCATGGAATAGTCGTGTCCTTGTGTGTATAGCCAGCCGAGCGACATCCATCATGAATAAATCACAAATCACCTGTACTTCTGTGCTATAGGTCCCTAAAGGGAAAAAGGTACGGGTCAACTTTCAGATGTTCCGCCTGAAAGAGCCAGGTGTGGACATCCGCTTCTGTCACAAAGACTATGTGGAAATCATGGGAACCAAGTAAGACTTCATTTCTTCCGCTTTCACTGACACCCAGCAGTTTGTGCTGGTTGAAAGGAAGGATGAAGCATGAATGATGAACCTCAACCGTGTATCTATTTTTCTTCTGTTTATCTTTTAATCTTCTACTGCTTTTGTGAAAAATTAAGGTTTGTGTGTATCATAGGAAAAACTTGAGATTTTTACAGATGTCTCATTTGGAATCAATGTGGCTTGATTCCCAAAAAGCTCTCAGCGATAGCCAATAACCAAACAATGAACAGGTTCTATTTTATCCTGGAACAGCCATTCTTATTTTATCAGCAATGGTTTGGTCATCAAATTTTCACTCGGTTGTGAGGGTCTAAGCTGACGACTTAAAAAAAAAATGGTTTGCTTGCAGTTCTCTTTTGCATTATTGTTAAAATCAGAGCCACTAAAACAAGTTTGCTTTAATCTGTTAACATCGGTCTTGTGTCTTAGATATTGTGGAGAAGTGTCCGCTTTGGCCCTGACCAGTGACACCAATATCCTTGAGGTGCACTTTCACTCTGACGAGTCCTACACTGACAAAGGCTTCAGCGCAGAGTATATCGCCTACGATCCAGCAGACCGTGAGTTAAATCTTGTCTCCTCTAAATATACAACGATTTGCAAGATAAGTAAAATGTTACGACATGACAGTGACACTCTTAGCCTGCTATTATGGAGTGCAAAGGGGGATTAAGCGTGTCATATGAAAGACAAAAAGACCTTGTCTGATTGACAATGTAATAGCTGTTTTGTTATACAGGCTTAGAAATCACAGCAGTGAAGTTCAAGAGCACGACTAATCAGCAGAGAAGTTGTTTATAGGGTCCATTTTTATCTGTGCCTGTCAGACAGGACTTTGTAATACCTGGTACTCTGTATGTCATGTCCTAGTTTGACCAAAAAGGATTCATAATTGCTCAGATCGACAAGTTGGTGGGTGCTGAGAACATATTGTCACTCCCACTCACTCGATTTGTCTCCTCTGCTGTTCTGTTCTTTTCCCTCTCTTCTCGTCTCGTGGACCAGCTTGCCCTGGAATGTTCGCCTGTAACTCTGGAAATTGCATAAAACAATCACTGAAGTGTGATGGCTGGAACGATTGTGGTGATATGAGCGATGAGAGGAATTGCAGTAAGTTTCCCTTTTATTTCGCTCTTTACCTTCTTTTTATTTTTCAAGAATTTTTTACCTTTTTTTTTCTCCACCTTTGTATTTTTGCTTTTTTTTTTTTTTTTTTGCTGAGTTTAATGAGAAGATTGATATGACTTTCCTAATCTTCCTATTGAATATGGCCTGTTCTCAGTTAGCTTTGCTCAGCAAAATTTCTGGAAACGAGGGGAAAACTAGCATCCATTTGGAGCTAAAAAAAATCAGAGGAGTATAAAAAGTTGTGCTGTTAAGAGCAAGATCATAATCCTATTTTGTCTCCACTGTGAGCTTTCTGCACTCTTGGAACATTTGTGCTTGGAAAGTACAATTGCAATTTTGTTTGCTTTTATTCAGAAAATATTTTATAGTGAGTTGCAAAGCCTATTCTGTTACCATCAGACAGAGCTAGTTCCAGTCTGGCTGCTCTTTGTAGCTTTACATTCTTTGAATGTAATATATCGTGTTACAAAAGTATGTTTTTACTATTTTTTTCCTTTTTTTAAAAACAGTCTCTAACCTATAAATTGATTTTGTCACTGTCCAGCTAATCTATGAACAATAGAGTTATGCATGCTCATGATAATTATTTTAAAAATATGGAATTTCTGTTGCTTCAGAATGTAATGAGGACCAGTTTGCCTGTGGAAATGGTATGTGCAAACCAAAACTCTGGGTGTGTGATCGTGTCAACGACTGTGGCGATTGGAGCGATGAGAAACAATGCAGTAAGTATAGCCGCCTCTTAAAGCACTCTTCAGGGGATCCAAGGCCTATTTACTGCTATGCTAATTGTGCAAACATAAAGGCTAATGCTATGGTCGGTGACCCCTGAGCTGTGTACACTCGTCGTTTCATCAGTAATGGAGTTTGAAGCCTTGCCCAAGATGCTCGGCGTTCATCCAAATGCTTATTTATATGTAGTAGGTGCAAAAAGAACAGAGTTTGATGCTTCTGTCTACTTGTGCTGCACCACTGGTGTTTCTTTAAGGCATATTGGATTGTCTCCCTGTTCAGGATATCTTGATTTTATTTCATTTCTATATCCTCATATTTCATTGCCAGGTTGTGAGCCAAATGAGTTTCGCTGTGGGGATGGTGCATGTCTGCCTCAGGATGTCGCGTGTAACGGTAAACAAGACTGTGACGATGGAAGTGATGAGGCCGCATGTGAAACCTGTAAGTGGCACAGTGCTTTTTCTTTTTTTTCCTTATTTTGGACCGTTTTCCTTTTTTTTTTCTTAGCATTTTACACAAACCATTAAGTAATGAACCATCTCCCATAACCCTGCATGTGTGTAGATTAAACAAAGATGTTTTCTTCACAGTAATATGTCTTTGCACTTGTTTTTTGCTCAAACCTTCATTTCTCTCTACCCTCTACTTCACTTTTCATCAATTCCCCCTTCACTCGGGCTCCCAGTCACAGATGGCACAATTGCATTTCCTTCTGATTTTTACTGCTGTGAATAAAGAGGGATATTAGACCTTAATCCCAATCAATATGCCCAATCAATGCAATCTACTCCTCAATCACTGTGCATTGTGCAATCTGCTCTCACTTTGAAGCTTTGCTGATTGCATAGTATTTTTACTGGTTAAATACAATCACATGAAAAAAGAACACCTTCTTTATTGCTAATGTTTTACATATCAGGGGATTATCATAAATCATGTGGTTCTTACTAAGTCTAAATACATCCCTAGAAGAACGGGACATATTACACTGTGTCTTTATCAGCAATGAACAAAACCTGAGCCAAAATTGATGCTTTTAAAAACAAAGTCCACCTATGTCGTTTCCAGAGATATGAATAAATGAACTTGCAGCCGAGTGCTACTTATCAATTTAACTCAGTAATTTATCATTAGCACCTCTATTAGAGCAGATGTTTTCTCAGTTTACTGAGCTGGAGCTTTGAGGTGTGTGTTAACACAATGCCATGGAGGAAAGATATAAACAATGAACTGACAGCAGAAGCAGTTGTTGGAGCCCATCAGTACAGGAAGAGTAATTAAGACATTTCAAGAGAATTTGATTTCCAATATCTTACTGTGAGAAAGAGAATTGAGATAGTTATCAATCAGTTGTCAGTTCCAACAGTGCTAAAGTCAATCTGCATAAGTCAAATATCAGATTCTAATATAGAAATGTTGATTTTAAATTGTTTAATTGGTTAAAGGAATATTTTCCCGGAAACACTCTAAAAAGAATGTGGCAGCACAGCATTGGCTTACAAAGTTGTAACTGAGCAAACTACAGAACATACTTTGGAGGGACCAAAGTGGTGGTGTTTGGTCTTAATTCACTTGTACCATGCATGCTGAGAGTCAAGCACAGCATTTTAAAAGGCTTCACACCAGCTGCCTTGCGTAGTGGTTGAGATCTGATAATTGGGGCCATTTCTGTGCAACCACCGGTCTTTGGTCCTGGTAGCAGTCACTGAGCTGATTATAAAAACCTCTGTATTCTCAAATGTCAAATGTGACTTTCTCTGTTGTACAGATAAAGTTGAAGTTGTTATGGCGCAACAGAATAATCCCAGAGAGAGAGACAAAAAATAATAATTTACTGCAGATAACAAAGGTTCTAAAACTTGCTTCTAATGGGGTCTGTTTCTTTTTGGACACATTGCTTTTGCACTTTGACTCGGCATGTATAAAGCCAAGAGCTGTTGTTTGAGTTTAGGCTGTATTCTTCTCATTTGGATACAAGATAATTATGACTTCTTTCTGTATTAATACACCAGACCATATAGTTTGAAGCTGGTATCCTCTATTTTTTAACACAAAAACTGAGACTTGTTTTCCTCTCTTTGACAGCTCCAAATATGTGCACTGACTTCAGCTTCGTGTGCAGTAACAAAGACTGTGTCAACAAGGTGAATGCTGAATGCGACCGTGTCAATGACTGCTCTGATAATTCAGATGAAGCCCATTGTGGTGAGTCATTTTTTTAAAACCCTTTTTTTGCTTTTTTACTTCTTCTGTTTTTTTCACCCGCATGACTTGAAGTGTAGCTAATTTTGTCAGTGTCTTTCAAACCAGATTATAGAAGTAAGGTTGAGCTGCATGTTGGACCGGCTGTTAGAAAAGAGCCTCGGGCCTCAACTGCTTATTTATTTAATTTTTCTTTGAAAGCACCTCCTGCCATCTCTGAAGTTTTTTTTTTTGCCTTCATTTAAGCCTGAGGGGGTGTCTACATATTCTTCAGCGTTTTTTCCAAGTTAATATGCCAGTGTGCCTCATTAGAATTCTGAAGATTTATGTTAGCATTTTAGAGCAAGACTGGCATCCTCAAATAAACAAAATCTCATTTACCACATTTTTTTCTCTGTGTCTCACCTTTCAATTTCCAATCCAACTCCTCCTTTTGTTAACCTTGTTCTCTGTTAAATTACAGATTGTGGCACCAGGCCTTACAAACTGAATCGCATTGTGGGAGGGCAGAACGCCGAGCTTGGGGAGTGGCCATGGCAAGTCAGCCTTCACTTTAAAACTTATGGACATGTATGTGGAGCCTCAGTCATCTCTGATAGGTGGATCCTTTCAGCCTCCCATTGCTTTATCACCAATTCTGTTGAGTAAGTAAAAGATCCCAATCACTCTCACATTTCATATAAAACATTCTCGAATCTATCTATTGAAAGGACTTCAAATGTGCCTCTGCTTACATAATTCAAGGGGGGGGGGGGCAAAGAAGCAAGATGATGGTAGGGTGTTATATGCTTTTATTCTGTGTTCATCACAGTGCCCTGTTGGTGGTGCACTAACCATACTGTTCAACCTGAGCCCATTTTATCACAATTAAGAATGACTCATGTTCTCAGATTCAGTTACTGCGCTAAGCATTGTTGCTTAATTTCTCTTCAGACTCGGAGGTCGTACTTGGTTTGTAATTTTAGATGCCGTTTTTTGGGGCAAAAATCTAAAAAATAAATAAAAAAATCATCTACATAGACTGATGGGTACAAAAGGCTATATTACGTAAAACTAAATATTTTAACAAATTTGTCCAGTGCCAACACTGTGCTCTTTAAAAAAAACTATCTTTACTCGTTTAAGATGTGCTCTGACTCTTGCATGTATGAATATAATTCAGTTTATAATTCAGTATAGTTTCAATTAGGTTGATTTGACTTCATTTTCATAGTGTCCACGATTATATGGATGAGAATCTGAGACAAGCTTTTAATTCCTGTTTCCCCCCCCCCTTTTCAATGAGTAAGACTTTGGTTGAACTGCCTTCTTTTCAAAACTCTGAACATTTGCTTGAGGATCACAAAGAAAACAACTGTTCCTTGACACTGGTAGATCGCACAAATATTCACTCACAACTGCTTCCAAGTCTAAACAAGTAAAAACCTTTTCCTGTTGAATTGGCGCTCCAACAGAAACCGCGTTGCATCCAACTGGCAGGCCTACAGTGGCATGCAGGACCAGTTCAAGGCGGATGGTACACTGAGCAAAGTGAAGAGAATCATCACCCATCCCAATTACAATGATTATACCTTCGACTATGACATCGCACTGCTGGAGCTCACTGAACCGCTGGAGTTCACCAACACCATCCAACCCATCTGCCTACCTTCTTCCTCCCACGTCTTCACTGCAGGCGTTTACTGCTGGGTCACAGGCTGGGGCGCTCTCCGGGAAGGAGGTACCAGACATGAATTCAAGATAGAACTGTTGTGAAATGTATTTTGTGAAAAACTTATTTTGATGATGATAATAATGATTGTTATTAATATTATTATTATTGTTATTTTGCAAACTCTTAATGTCCGTGCTTTCATTCCTCAATTATCTGTCATCTGCCTTTCTATTTTTATATCCCTAGCAGCCATCCAACACATACCAAAATTAAGACATCCTTCTCCACCCCCATCCCTCTCACAGTGATCTATTCATCTCTGTCCTTCATCTTCCTCTGCCGTCTGTTTTTCCCTTCATCTTCTATTCATTTCATCATGTCTTCTTCCTCTGCTTTAATGTCCTCCCTTTTTTTATGTTGATCTCCCCCATCATGACACACTTCTCCATAGCTTTGTCCCGCCTCCCTATTCTCTCATCTTTTTCTAATCTGTCCTGTTCACTTAAGCTCTCTTCCATATCCATAAATCAACTCAGACATCAGCCCTCCTGGGAAGTATCTTAAACCTTCATTAGCTAACACTAATCCGGACCATTAACACCTTTGATGGTAGAGATGAAGCTGTGGGTCACGTGACAGAGTGCTGACCCCTCTGTCCTCCTTTCCCAGGTCAAAAGTCACAAATCCTGCAGAAGGCCTCTGTCAAAATAATCAATGACACAGTGTGTAATGTGGTCACTGAAAACCAAGTCACCTCCAGGATGCTCTGCAGTGGATTCTTGGCTGGAGGAGTTGATGCATGCCAGGTGAGATGTAACTTCTTTTTTTTTTTCCAGAAAAGAATAGGATGAGAATGGACTGATATAGAGCAGTTTTCACATCCACGTAATTATCATGCGTGCATGTCTGGATCTAGCCTAATACCACCCTTTTTTTTCTTTTTTTTTGTGGTGGTACTCGCCAGGGAGACTCCGGGGGGCCCCTGGCGTGCTTTGAGGAGAGTGGGAAGTGGTTCCAGGCAGGTATAGTGAGCTGGGGAGAGGGCTGTGCTCGTCGGAACAAGCCCGGGGTCTACTCCCGCGTCACCAAGCTGAGAGACTGGATCAAAGAGGAAACGGGGGTTTGATGATAATGTGAGGAGCAGAGATGGATGAGGAGTGGGGAACGTTGGAGTGTTAAAAATAATGGCGACAATTTAGTCTAATTCAGGACAAGGCTCTGAGATTTATTCATTTAGAATCAGGCTGACAACCCTGTTGCATGAAACCCAGCCACTCACATGAATGACTTTAAGCACTTTATCTTGGGTGCCAGCCCCCACACGAGCTGTTTCAACTCACACTTCTTACACACACTTGAAGATAAACTACATCAACTTAATTTTGTTTCAGTTTTTAAAGGCATTTGTTGGCCGACTGCCTCATTCCATAAATCCAGAACACATTTAGGTGGAGAATTTTTTTTATCCAGAAGCTGTTCAGTTTAACAGTTAAAAAAAAGAAAAAGATTCAGAATACAAACATTAGACAGAACTTTTAAGGAGTGATTCTGTGTTTTATAAAGAAAAAGGTCTTTAGTTTTAACGCCAAAGCATTTTGTATATCTAAACTAGTTTGTTTCTTTCATCTTCTTGCTGCAGTGCATGTCTTTGCCAGTGAGCTCAGGCAATAATTGGCTATAAATTATAGGTTTCCGATGATTAGACAAAAAAATGATGTGAGGGGGAAAATAAAATCACACAGGGCCATTTCCACATAATGCTGAAATGCATGGAAACCAGAGGCTTGAAGGTAGAAATAGCATTAATCAATCTAAAAGCCTAAAGTTTGCTTTGGAAAATTGCCAGCTATGAAGTATACCAGATTTATAATTGGTGGGTTAAAACAGACAGAAATATCAGCGTGGCCCTTGAAAAATGAAAGTGGAGTGATTTCCAAGTACATCAGTATTTGCTTTATTAATATTCCTGTGTGCTTCCTGGCATGGCTGGATTTGTGAATGATTTGCCGAAATATTAGATTTAAATGGGTGGGTGGAGGATAACTATTAGGGTCCTGTTGGCTAATGCGCAGGTCTCTGTTTAAGCTCAGGGTGATTTGTGTCTTCATTTGTAGAAACCGGTGAGTTGGAGTAACTCTGTGACAGTTCTTAAGCCTGGCCCTCTTAAGTCACAACCCATCAATCAACTTTGCAATTATCACTGAATGGTTTCTGTTTGTCTGACTCAATCTTAAATCATCCTATCCTGGATACGCAAAACCAAAGATTTGCTTAAGTATTATTTATTTAAAGGAAAGAAAAAAAACAACAAATGTCGTTAAGTATATCTTTTAGATGGTATTTTAAAATTTGTAGACATTGTTAAACTATGCAATTGGTACAATGTGTAGTTTGTAAAAATTCCTTTGCAGAAGCCGTAGCTGGTTTAGTTGGAACAGGGTGCAGTTTGGATTTTACTTCTTCCTATTTTTCTATGTTCTTTCTTTTAATGTTTTTATATGATGATAATAAACATCTTTTATCAGACTTCACACTATGTCATTGGATTACCTGATCCATTTGTCTTTGATAAGGTCTTGTTCTGTATTATGTTGTGCATAATAAATGCATGTCTTTGGAGACCTTGTCCCCTTTCACAGTAGAATTGTAATGAGTATGTACTTCTCCTCCCTGTTGTGAGCAGCATGCATACCTGGGGAACGGCGATGACAAGATGAACTCATATTGTCAAATAATACCTTCCTCTGTCACTGCTCTATCTTATTACCCTACCAAATGGGCATGTTGGCTTCAGGAGGTGGATACACATACAGTGGGGGTTCTACTGTCTCATCTGTCTTCATTAAAAGTAGAGCACCACTGGGGGAATAGGAAAATCAACAAAGACAGTGCTGCTAATTTATGTATTCATCACTTTTGCAACATGGGAAGCTTGTTTGTCCCTGTTCTCAATTGAGAACAACACTCTTCACCAGTTAGATTAACTTCCAGGATTCACTAGAGCCAGTGCTTTATCAGAAATGTTTTTATTTAAATATAAATATGTGTACAAAGGTACAAGCAACAATAGCTCCTTTTTAGCAAATAAAATTCTTAATACATTATTAAAATGAACAAAAACAAATGGCAATTAGTTGTGTTCCAAAAAAAGCAGAGTAACTGCATTCAGTGATTGATGAACAACTTAGACAAGAAAATCTGTGAAGCCAAACCAACCAAGATAGATACATATGTATATAAAGATATTTTACAATAGAGCAGCTTAACACGCTGTACTTTAAGGCTTATATAAAATATAAAAATAAAGACGAGCGATGGTGTTTGCCTTCTCACTTTAAGTGACATTTGATCTCTCGCTCAGCTGCATGACAACAGCTTTTTTAGACGAATGGCAGTACAGGCGTCCATACTAAAACGTCCGGGAAGTGGAATGCAACAGGATCGGGTGCGGAAACCAATGTCTCAAACATGAAATGGACATGAATATAAACGCTGAAGATTCTCACAAGACACATCAATTGCATGCAACAGAGAGAAAGTATGGGCTTAGCCATTTGTACAGAGTTTTAGAGTTTCAGGGTAGTACTGTTTATTGTAAACATATCGAGTCAATTTGATTGAGATGTAAAACTTGAGTAAGGTGTCCACATGAGAACTACCTTTTTAATGCCTTACTCCACCTGAGCCTGCTGACATTGAAGCTGCATTCAACTTTATTTCAAGTTCAGGATTGCCAACGTTTTCCAAACACCACTTTTGATTGTTCTGGGCAGATCCTATTTTTCAGTTTACAATCAGAAAACACAAAGGGTAGCACAGCGGATATTTTAGCAGTCGCCCCCGTATCCCCCATAGAGCTCTCACCATCTTTGGGATTTTATGGCCTCACCTTGTCAATCTTGGGATAAAACACAGTAAACAAAGTCCTCCATTAAATTGAAGGCCAGTATAAACAAATTTCCCTCCTTCGTTGATCCACTGGTAAACCACACTGCCATGTCCAAAACATGTGATGGTTATTATCAGAAGATGCTCCAGAAATACAGCTCAGGCCAGAAGTATTCCGCTGTTGGTTTTCTCGGAGTACAGAACAACGCCTCGAGCACTTGTTGGTCAGTACAGCTAGCCTGTTGTGCAGAACAGTTTATGACTTTCTCTGTGGTTAGCTCAATCTTTTGTTGATGATACAGACACAGATGTGCTTAGAATTCCGTTTGCATGCCAACAAGACACCAAATGACAGACAACAAAAGGCTGTTCATAGTTTTTTTTTCTTCTTCTTCTTAAATATGTCTGTGGCTGTGATATCTTCTTTGAAAGTATGTAAGAGGTTTAGTTTTCGTTTTCACTCGAACCAAACTCTGGAATGCAGGTAAACAACTATCCTGTTTGTATTGGTCACCCATTTCGGGGAGATGCAGATGGTTTAGTTTCTTCTAGTTGGCCCCTTGCAGTCACAGAGTATCTCTTCTGGGTGGTCATTGTAGAAAGACTGATGTTCATCTTATGTTTGACGTGAACATCACAAACTGATTAATTTTCCAGCTTCGAAGTTCTACTGGTAGCAACATTGTAGATCCTAGTGTCCATCACGGATACGCTGGTTGTCCCATTCCCTATTAACACGACTCCCTCTGAATACTGTCCAAACAAATCCATGCAGAACGTTGTGAGCAATGGCTATCTACTCACTTTTTCTGTATGCTTCTTTTTTTTGCATTTCTTATCAAATCAGACATGAGTCTGCATGCGCTGAGACGGCTGGCCATAGTCTGACTGCTGGGAGGACACTTGTGACGAGGCATAAGAAAAGCGAGAGGAGCTAGACACCTTGCTTGCCTGATCTGATTGGTCATAGGCATCCACCTTTTCATAGGAAGCAGGCTTTACATAGCTGGTGAAGGCACGACCATAGGTAGCAGGTAAGTAAGCTGAGCCACTGTAGAGGGGATCAGTGGGATATATGCTGGCTGGTTGGGTAGGCTGCTGCTGGGCAGCTTGCTGTTGTTCATAAGAAGATCTGCTCACTGTGTTGGTTGCATATCGGTGGGAGAATTCATAGACGCGAGGCTGAGTGCCGTGTTGACCGTACACGGGGCTGGGGGAGGGCAGCTGTGATGGAGTGTAGACGGGCCGGGTGTTGGGCACGTACTCAGAGAATCCACTGCCGCGGATGTGACGGTCATCATGGCCACGGACATTGTAGTAACCATTAGTAGGGTCCTGTAGGGCAAAACAGTAAAAAAAAAAAATTGTATCATGTAGTCATGCAAAAAAAACACACAGACACAAACATACTGTTTTTTTTTTTTTTTGCCAAGGGTTTTTATTTCTACCTTGATGTCCGATCTTTCATCTTCCTCCTCCTCTAAGAGGTCGCTGTGTTCTGTGCGAGATGTCCCTGGAGACTCGCTGCTGTTTGGAGCCTGAGGGAAGACCAAGCATTTCTGGAGAATTAGAAAGATGAACATTACCTTACTAGAGTGCAAACAAAAGAAATTAAGCATTATGTTGCTGTGGTAATGTTATCATAACCACTTTCCATCACCAAAGAACCCTGACAGAGTAAGTGAAAGATTTGACTTACCATGGGTTCTTTGACGTCCTCCTCATCATCATTGCCTCGTGTGGCGTTGTGATCACTATGAACAATCTGAACTCTTATGTCACTCTTAGACAGACGAGTGCATCTTTTACCTGTGGGAGTAGAAACACTTTCAATTGACCTATATTGCCAGATCGGCACATCCAGATATACTTTAAAGGACTTGTTTCAGTGCAGGGTGGAATTATGCAAAAGGTTTTCAAAGAGAAAATGTAGAAATTTGTTTGATTTAAAGAATGGGCCCATTTTGCCCTTACTAACCGTTGAGCTCACCTTTGCCTGTGTGCCTGCAGCAGAGGGATACCAGTGTGATGACACAGATAAGCAGGACACAACCGCCACCCACTGCTCCACCAACAATTATCAGCATTGGCAGAGCCTCTGCAAGAAAAATGATCATAAAAGAAAACTATGGTGAGGAAGATGTGGGCAGCTGTTTGCGAAGAGAGGTGAAAAGATAAAGTGTATTTCCAAAACAAAAAGAACAGTTCAGACTTAGTGAAATCCAAAAAGTCTCTTCTTTTGTCTTGCTAATCCAAGAAATACTCTGGTGTCTATAAATTCATCTGCACTAAACTTTGATTCTCTGTTCTGTGGCATATGCTCATGTGGACAGTTCAGCATCTCAAAACCTGGCTATTGCCTCTAATCTCTCTGAGGGAAGGGTAACAAGGCCTGGCATGCAATGAAGCAATAGACAGTAATCCAATTAAAGATTCCAGGAGATACCGCTGCCCATTTCTCTGGAGACCCTGCTCTGCTACGTTGATGTAAATTACTGGCAAAGACCTTATTTTTGGTGTCTGCCGAAACAAGGGTTTCTACTAGCATCAGTAAAGAACTCCAATTCCAAATTTTAAAACACTCCAGGTAAGGCTGGATGTAGCCTGGGATGGAATGCTTTGCTCGGAGACAGTGATTGAGATTATGATCCAAACTGTAAACACATGCCGGGTCCCTTAAATGGCTTTTGGCTGCAGTCAATATCTATGTTATGGAGCAAACACGTGCATTAAAGTACCCATCTGCTGATTAAACCATATTGATTAGAAGAGCATAATTAAGATAACTGTCAGACAGTGGTGCTGCTTCTGCCTATTTCACGGCAGAGACGGCGAATAGCAGAGCAACGTCTGTCTGGCTCCTGTCAGTGCTTACCTTGCTCTTTTAGTGTGACCAGAGCAGTGCCGGTGCCGAAACGGTTCCAAGCTGTGCAGTTATAGCGCATCTGGAAATCCTGCGCCAGGGTCTCAGATAGCACCAGAGAGGACAGGACTCCGTGATCGCTGGCCACAGTCTGCACTGAGTAACGACCGGAGGTGCCAGATGACAGGGCCATGTCCCCAAAGGTCCACACCTGGGGAGGGTGAACAATAGGAAGTCAGTTGCTGTGTCTAAAAGATCTATCACATGACCAAAACAGCATCCTCCAAAGTTATCCTTAGAATACCTGTCTGCAACTGACTTAACATTAGTTTTTGCACACAGTTCCTTTCAGCTGACTGCTGAGGTTCTCCATGGCTGACATGGCTCATCGGCTCATGTTTAAGCTACCTCCCATGTCTGCCCTTAAGGTGAGGCCTAAGAGAGTTAGGTAGTTACGCTATGAAATAAGAATCCTCGCTCCCATGTGTAGTAGAGGGCCAGCAGGGCAGCTGTCCCTCACTCCTCCTCACACCCTAATTATCCTTTTTCCACCCAGCATACATTCAGTAGTTCAGGAGGGTCAGCCGAGTGATGCCTCTTGGGCCATTAATTGAGCGTGGTTTCGCAGAGATCTGCGGGAAGTTTGGCCTTTCGTCGGCCCCCCTAACTCAAGAGTTGTTTAATTCCTAAATATGTTTGTACAGTTATACCTGTCTCTGTGTGTGTGTGCGTATCTTTTAACAAGTAAGGTTAGAGGTTGGTGGTGCGAAGGGAAGGTCAGGGATAAAGCGAGTCTGAGTGATGGCTCCTGTGTGGGTGTGGCTACTCAGAAGAGAGTCTGTGTAACTTCTAGCTGACTAAGTGAACACTAAGTGGACACGCCAAGAAAGGGCTTACTTACAATTTTCTCCGGTGGGGGACTGTTGCCCACCCTGCACTCCAGCTTTCCCTTGGAGTGCTTGACAGCGTGCTGTGTGGCATCTGCTGTGATGATGGGTGGACCTGAAGTGAAAAGGTAAGGAAAAAAAGAAAACAAAACATAAATTGTTATTTTTTACCACGATCCACACAGTCATAGGTCAATACTTTCAGGCCATTATTGAACAGATTATTCAGAGCTTATCAAAAATATGAGTATCTAGTTTTTCCCCATTGGTTATATTTTAAGTTAAAAAAGTAAAACCAACTATTTTGGATGGAAATATCCCAAATCCAAAGTGGAGCTGTGTAATAAAGGAGCTGTAGTCAATTGAATGCTTTGACCTCAGACAGTTCTTTACATCGGGACTATATCCATGTTGCATCAGTAGTGTGCTGCAACTTCATATGGTGAATTTCTTTGGTTGAGAAAATGTAACGCCAAATGGAAAAAGTTAAACTGGTGTTTAAAATCATAATACCATCCAAAGTTTGAAATGGAATAGGTTTTTGAAGCTGGAGTTAAGGTCACTCTACCTATCATTATTTTAAGTGATACTTGTTTCCTGTCAGAATTACTTTTTGTTTCCTCAAACAGAGAGTCCTCTTTACACCGTTTACAGCAGGTCAGAAAAAAGAAAACGAAAGGGGAAAAACATCTATTGTTACAAATCTGTCTAAGCAGGACCTAATAGTTAAAGATGGAAACAATAAAGTTGGAGATTACACCAAAACAATGTCCAGCTGGGAGACAAACACTCTACTCTATGAGCTACAGCCAGCCCATACATCATTTCTTCACTAGAGTGATTTGAATTTATGGACAGCATCATTAGAATTTCAAATTAATTAAGGATATAAGGGCAGTTTTCATTTTCATAAATTATTTTGATGTTATTTTTTATAAATTAAATCACATTTTTAAATAAACTACAATTGGTATGTCTTAAATGTACCAATTAAAAATGTTTTTTTTTTAATGTAAAATGTGATAAAGACAAAATATAAAGTATCGTTAATGGGAACATTTCCTTTATCTCAAACTTGCACTCAAATGTATTGTGGGAGGATTTTCTTCCCCTAAAGAAGCCACTAACCGTTCACAGTTAGAGTGACATCTCTTTCAGCAACTCCAATACGAGGAACAATGGCCTTGCAGGTGTAAGTCCCAGCATCCTCCTGGGTAACAGCCTTCAGCTGCAGGGTGTTACCATTGCTGAGCACCTAAGGAGAGATCCAGAGAGACGAGTAAAAGGCATGTTAGAGAGAGAAAGAGGTGGTGGAAGGCAGCAGCAGACAAAAGAAAGAGTCCTCTAACAGTGGCCCACTCATTGTGGAGGCAGCTCAGAGGTGGGCTGACCATTGTAACAAATGCTGGTGGTTTGAGTTTAATTTCATTGTGAAGAGGTTTAATCACGGCATTAAGCACTCCAGCCACCGCTGAGTGACCGTGCTGCTGGGGTGATTGTTGTAATTAAACAGTGGGGACAGATCGTGGCATACTATGTGTGAGTGGGTCCTCGCCTTTGGAGCTGCAACACTCAGTCACTCCTTAGCTCATTGATCCTGTCATTCCATCAAGCTGTGATTAATCCATTTATCCCCACTCAGTTCTCCTCCCTCCATCTCAACATCCTCCCTCTCACTCTCTGCACTTTTTTTCCTTTTATTTCAACACACTTATGGAGTAACCCAATTAATCCATTACTCATGGCTGTGTGAGGGACAGTGGCAGTGGGTGGATTAGAAAAATGCTTGCGCATTTTCCTCAGAGTGCCTAAAAGCTCTCTTTTTTTTTAGATGACGGCATTGCTTGTGCCATTCAACAGCAGTCTGCACTTGGGATGCTTTCTCCTGCATAGCTTCATAGAAATTATATTAGTTGCCAGCAGAGAGGCTCCTATGGGATGCCCCCTCTAATGGTGTGTTCACTAAAACACTTTTACCAGGGTGATTTAAAGTGAAGGTGGAAATGTCCCGATTGTTCCACCAACAAAACTGATTTTGAAGAGATGGATACTGAAGCACAACCAGGCCTTTATTACCTTATGGTTGCAGACATCCTGCGGTAAATTTGCTGCACATGCTGTAATCCTGCTTGGCTCATTCATTGATTCCTTTACTGATTGATTGATTGGTTGATTGTGCTAGAATTAAGGCACTATGTCGTGCGCAATGACAATTCAGTATAAATCTGTCAATGGACAGACAGTTTTCTGCCAGCGGCTTTAGCCCTCAGGGAGAATGCTGAGAGAGGTGTTGTATATTCAGCCTGAAAAAGAATGTGTCGAAAAAGGTGTGTGGGATTCGTGCCTTAAGGCCATGTGTGAATGTTTCTCACTGAGGGAACAGAGTTGAAACTGTACCATCAGGATGAAGTGGTGACTGGTGTTTGTTGCCTTACCACAGTGGAGCCTTGCTTTGTCCAGGCTAGGGTCAGCGGAGGGTTTCCAGTCCATGCACAAGTAAAAGCTGCATCCATCCCCATGTCCACTGTCATTGGTTTGGGTTCTGCCAGAAGTCTGGGGCCAACTGAGGTGAAGCAGACAGCCATAAGAATCAGTCAAAGACAAACTCCTTTTGAAAAGACATCAAACTAAAATTCTTAACAGTTAAACTCACATTGCACATCGACCAGAGTGCTGACATTGGTGCTGCCCACAGAGTTGGACACTTCACAGGAGACAGGATCAGTGAAGTACGAATGGTCTACTGTCACTTCAAGGCTGTCCCCATTTGCCTCAGAGATGGGCACCCCTCCTTTAGACCACCTAGGATAGATAATCACATTAAACTGTTGCATTAGTTCTGGGAAGGCAATCACGCATGCTTATCAAAGTGGCTATTAGTTGATTTGAGGCTTGTGCCAATCAACTACTGCCAATCAAGCAGCACGTTTAGCCCAATGAATCTTCTTAAAACTTGTCATCCTTATAGTGCTGTTCTTGATTTCTTCTTAGTCATCTTAGGGAGTAAACTATGTCACAGAACCTGCACCATATATTATATATACTGTATATATTATATGTTATTCTGAATGCTCACATATGTTTTTAGGACTGAGTATTTCATTAAAATGACTAAAAGGTGAATACCTGTATCCAGTGATCTCAGGATTGGCAGAAGCAGAGCAGATGAAGAGAACCTTGGCTCCCTCTGTCACTGTCTGAGGCTGGACTGACAGAGTCACTGATGGAGGGTCTGTAAACAACACAAAATATTAATGTTGCAGATGTAAACGTGCATAGTAAATTTAACTGTCGCTGAAATTGGGATGAATTTTCTGTACACTTTATGAGAAACACTTTTATATGATAGGATTTTTGTTTGGAGAGGGTTGATGCAAGACTTACGCTGGACATTGATGGTGATTGATGTCTGTCGACCAGCAGGAGCAGCTGGGTTGAGGACCCTGCAGGTGTAGGTGCGTCCAGAGTCGCTATCTTCTGGGATGATTGGAAGCATACTGACAGCTGCCTCCCTCTTACCATCCTCCATTAGTGACTATAGGATTGGACAATAACAACATGAAACTCAAAATCAGCTTAGTGTTAATCAAAGAAAGTCAGAGAACGACAGTATAGGCCTTAGTTTTCATGTGGAAAAAATTAAAATGGCTATCCTGTTCTTTGGCATGTCAGTTAAATCATATATTTTACGATGCAGTGGGGGATATTGTGCTGTTCCCACATTTCTGAGAGTGTTCCCCGTCAGCTCTCCTTGTTTGTCATCATCTTTTAAATCTATTTACTGCTCACAGAAATCAATACGCCTAAGTGAGGAAAGGTGTAGATTCTGAGGATATGACTCACTGCTCCCTCACTGTCTCCCTCTGTATCTCAAGCACACATACACAACAAAAAATACTGCGATAGCCACAGTGATAGGTGTGTGTGTGATTGTCTTTTTTTTGTTTTTTTTGTTTTTTTGGGTGATGACGTTGAGGAAGAAGTGTCACACATCTTTGAAAGAGAGTGAGTGCAAGCTGAACCTTTTCCCTTGACAGCCAAATCAATGGAGCAGGTCTTTCACTTCCTCAGCCTGACACACAAAAAGCATTTTTATGCTAGATCAAATCACATCACTCCCTGTCACCACCATTTACCCGGACAAAGCTTTGCCTACCCTCAGTATCTCTTTGGAAATAACGTTGGAAAAAATCTGTTTTTCTCAAACCTATCTCCCCAGCTAACTATATTCATGCCCCCTACTCTACATTCCTCTTCAGCTCTTCATTCCCGATATCCTCTTCTCCCTCTCCACTTCAAATCTAATCTTCCCCCCTTCTTCTTCTTTTTTTCACTGCAGGCTTCCGCCTCCTTAAATGTGGCGTTTAGCGTCGTTTAGCGTGGTCAGGGAGCATGAAAAATGTGACACTTTCCCAGCCGTAGCTGGCTCACGCTCCGGTGCATCCCTATTGTGTTCCTACATTGTTGTGGGTGATTTCTTCTCCGCTGAAACCCTACTGTATGAAACACTCATGCCTGTCTGAGCTTTGGCATGCTCCAGTTATGCTGTAGTGTCGCTGCATTAGCGAGCAAAGGGGGGGTGGAAGAAGGGGGAGGCAGAGGAGGAGAAGGTGGGGGTCAGGCATGAGTGGAAATGGGAGGGGGACTGCAGAGAGTGAGAGAACAAATCTTGTGAGAGAAGGCAGGCAATAGGGAAAATATGAGAAAGAATAGAAGAAAGATAAGAAGAATAAATAGAATGAAAGAAAAAGAGATTGAGTATCATACCCCAAGAGAAAATATTTCTGTTTTGAATACCTTTGCAGTTATATCTACCCACTGTTACATTCTGGCATTCTGTGTGGGTGTTGGTGATTGAATGACATTTTCTGGGCATAGATCTGTTATTGCCGTACCTTGGAATAAATCGCAGTCTCCATGATCTCTCCATCTCTGTACCAGGTGATCTCAGCAGCAGGTTTGGCTCCTGAGGCTCTGCAGGTGAGGTTGTGTGGTGTGTGGGCCTTCAGCCGCACAACAGGGCCGCCTTCCACCACAGGGTCTGAAGGAGGGACTGTAAAACAGAACAAACATACCACTCAGAAACAAAATACATAAATAAATAAATAACTGAAAAAATGTCCCATCATGGCTCCAAGTGAGCTAAAAAATTCACACAGAAGTAAAAGTGATATTGAGACCATTGTTAGTCTTAGTTCAGAATTAATGTATACCAAAAGCCTGTTTGTTAACAAGATCTAAATCCACAGAAATAACTAAGAACTGTTGTTATCAGAAAAAAAGAAAAAGAAACCTTATTTCTTTTATTCTTTGGGACTACCATTATTTCTCTATTTGCTCTTGCTGTTGCAGAGTGATGTTTCAACTGAATTGCTTATTTGTTCATTTATTTGCATGGTTTCGCACGTACTACTGGCAAGCCAAGCGTGCCACCCTTGATGAAGGCGTCTATCTCCCCAACCAATAAGAAAAGGAGTAAACATGGGGTTTGTGCTGGCCTTTCTCGCACCCTCCACCGAACCAATTTCACTGTGTGTATCTGAATTGTCAGAGGTCCTTCCGCTGTCGCGGCACGGACACTAATGGAATCCGAGTGCTAGGTGATTTTAATTTCCATGCCGATTCCCCTGACTGCACTCCCACCGTTGACTCCTTTGACTGTGCAGGATTGCTTTGGTCTCATCTGGCCACATTGATTTACACATACATACACATATTTATTTGCACACATATGCAAGCACAGCTTATAAAAAAAACATCCCTTTCCTCTTTAACACTGGTGTCTACACCAAAAATAAACTTCAGGCAATGCACCTGGTTTCATTTCTATGTTTATGACATGCATGCAATGTTTGTGAACCAGGAGCTTTGGCATTTGAAAAAGAATTTATTGTAAAAGTGGTAGTTTTACCCTGATTGTTTTATACGGCCAAATTGGCTGGAACCACTACGTGGGGATTCGAAAGTAAGACGATTCAAAAAGATGGGCAGAAGACATTGATTGAGCTATCTGTATCGGTTCACTTTGATCTCAGTGTTTGGTTCCCTTGAGAGTTATGGTTTACAACCTTAATTGTACCAGTCTTAACTCTCTTTCGTGAACCCTTAATGAAACCCTGATGGCAGCAGACACTTTCAGTGAGTGAATGCTTTCTGGCATAAAGATTGACATATAGGGGGGTGGCACAGTCTGCAGCAACAGGTTTGAATAACTGTTCAGCTAATTCATGAATACTGTCTTGTAGGCCAGTTCATGGTAAATTGGCAGGACTAATTAATATTGTGATATTCCTTTGCATGCCACCAGATGCCAGCAGTGCTTTGCTGAATTCCCACAAGGTCTGTCGCTCTTAATCCCCCCCTAACCCCCCCACCCCCCTCCCTCCCCTACTACCCTCCTCTGAACGTCTGTGTGAAGAAGTAGATCACTCACATCACGTTAATGTAAAAACCGCCTTGCAGTTGATAGATGTTGTGGCTCATTGTAAAATGTGCTAACTGTGCAGATCCTGACTTTCAAGCGACGATGCAAGTCATTTGTGACTGCAGCAATCACATTATCCTGGATGTACAGTTGATTATCGCAGTTGAGAACTGAGAGTTCAGCTGTTTCATTTTCCTTCGGCTTCATTTTGGTCCTAAATCTTGTGTTGAGTGCTCTCAAGACATGTCCCCCCGCCACAGAAAAGTAAATTCACAGTAAAATTTACAGTGATAAGAGACTCAGTAACAATTCCTAATCACAAGTGCTTCTTAATATGCTTTTTCTGTAAGGTGCTCTTTCATGTGTAGTGTGATGTGTTGCAATAATACACTATTAGTCATATTTTTTTTTGTTACGTGATGAAGACACTCCCTCTGACTTTTCTTTTGTCCAAAGATCTGCCAGCCTTGAAGGCTTTGGTGTGAGGGCTGGCTGTGAGGATCACGAGTGAGCTGTGTATCTTACCTAGAACAGTGAGCTTGGCACGGTGGGAGCGCAGCCCGGCCTGTGTAGCCTGACACTCATACACCGCGTCATCCGCCAAGTCTGCTGAATCGATCAGCAAGCTGTGCTCGCCTGATAGTGGGTCCCCCATTAAGGAGTAGCGCGTCCAGCCTGCATGAAGCCAACCCAGAAATAGAGTCAGAGGCAAACTATCCGACCAACAACACACACATAAAGAAAGGACAAAAAAAAAATAAACAGACTAGTGCCCTGAACAAAAGGGGACAGAAATGTGGAAAAGCTCTTTATAAGGCACAAATGAAAGCGTGCAGCACCTCATACTGGGTGAGGCATTGAGCCATTGTACTCTCAGAGCAGCGTGAGGCTAGAAATGCAACACGTGAGAGAGCTGCTGCATGAGGAGACTGTCCTTTAAACACAGACACAATAAAGATGGGGTGGCTAAGGTCAAGAGGAAGCCTCTCTACTTTCTCACTACTCAGCCACACATTTAAATGTCAGTGCATGGCAAAAGCCAATTGATTATCCACCTTCCTACAAGACTTTTAAAATGCTAAACAACAAATTAAAGTTCCTGTGTACAGCAGTAACCAATCTGTCAGCAGTGCATTTTCCCCTCACAGTTTATTTACGTAAAACCCCAACAGTTGACAGAGGGAGACTTGATTGCTAATGAGGCCTAACATTGATCGGAACAAGACAGAAAGAGATGCAAGGCGATAAATACACAGAGAGAGAGATAGAGGAAAGGTTTGTGTTACTACCTGGCAGATCTCTCTCTCCACCCAGTGCCAGGCCATCTTTGGTCCACTGTACCATTCCTCTGTAGCCCACAATGATACAAGGTAGCGTCACCGACTGACCCGACACAACCACTTGGTCCTGGGGCTGCTGTGAGAAGTAGGCCGCTTGGGTGGCTGCTGGGATAAAAATAAGACAAAAGAACAAGGACAAGGTGAATGTCTCTTTTAATTCAGATTTTGTACAATGAAAAAGTTGACAGTTCACACAAAAGTACTCAGCAGTGCAAAAGAAGAAATGAATGTAATAGCAGCATGTATCTGCTGCGCCAGCTAAGATGTTACATGAAACTTTCACTGTAGGATGACAAACAACAAAATTTATGAAAGCGCAGACAGTGCTCTGGACAGCTCACATTCTTGTATTTTGGGCACTTGCCGAGAGAAAGAGCAAGGCAAGCGTGTGAAAATGTTTTTTTCCTCTATAAATGCGGCATCAAAGAGTCATTGGTGCCTCATAACTTATTTAACTGTTTCCAAAGACCAAATGGTTATGCTCGCTGACATGGTGCAAACACACTGCCGGGGAACAAAATCTGCCACTCTTTCAGCGGGCTTTTTGTAAAAATGGATGTTAAACAATCAAAACTCCATTAAAGTTCCCAGGGGACCCATCCGTTTGAGCCTGCTGAAAGTCGGTAGAGACACCTGCCACCATTTCGCTGCTGTGTTTAAGTTAGGCACACACTGTCTCTTGATTGGCTGGCTTGCCTTCACACACATGTAGAAACACAGCATGAATGCAGATACACAGCTCCTTCGGTCTGTGCCACTATGCTGAAGATTGAGTATTACAAATCCTACTGGCAGGGGAAGATGGCAACTCTCCAGAGGTAACTAATCCATAGGGAAGGTAGGAGGGAGAGGCGGTTGGTTTTCTAAGTAGGGTGTCTGTGAGTTGGGAGGAAGACTTTAGAAAAAGACCTTCCCTCATTCTCCATCTCTATTTCTTTGTTGCTCAGTGAAGAATGGAAGGGAGGGGGTGTGAAAGAAGATAAAGGCGGTACTATTCAGGCAGTGCTAAGCCCCCCCGCCCCCCCCATTGGGTGCACTTAAACAGACCCCCCACCCCCAAAGAAAGCCACTGAAAGGAGGGCAACATACGGTGGCCAGAGACACGCTATTGTCCCTCTCATTTAATAGGCCTCTTCATTTCTAATCAATCCTGCTAAATGCAAGTTTAATAGCTTTTCAATAGCAGCTTTCCCCCCAGAGGGAAGCCGGGATTTTCTCTGTCTCACCCCTTTTCTCTTTCGTCGTCTCTTACCCCTCTTTCTTACTCCTTTCTCAGTAGTGAAAGGGGAGGCTTCCGAAGATGTTGGCAGTGTTTATTCCACACTCAATTACTCATCTCATCTACGGGTGCACCATGGACTGAACCCTACCCCTCTCCTCCTTCACCCTTTGTACCCTCCCGCTTGTGTCACGAAACAGCACAATTTAAAGCTGCCAAACAGTGAGCTCATCAGGAGCGGGAGTTCTGCACAGCCCGGACCACTGCGGTTGTGTAGTTTCACATGCACTCTGTTGTCTCTCACTCTGCCAGACGAGGTGTTTATGGAGAGTTGATCAGGAAAAAAAAAAGAACATTTCCCCCAGTATTTAATTTCACCAAAGCATCCTAACTGACAAATGAGCTGTGGGAGCAAACAGGTAGACTGTATGTGTGTCACGCACCGTGGATCAAAAGAGGCCAATTTAAGAGCGCCAGCTCCTGAAGTCAAACGTCTCTGAGCTCAGGCTATTAGGCATTTAGCGAAGGCTGGAATTTTCCCGTCATACTTTAAAAAATGCTTTTTTCACAGTCTGCCTGCACATCCCTAACACTCTACCTTTATGAGCTATTGAGTGTTTTCATATTTCTTCCCTTGAAGAGTGAGTTAGAGATTTTCCTCTGTGGCTCTCAACAGCACAAACATTGATTGCAATTAAGTATCTTGCCCAGAATACTCGAACATTTACAATGGGTGATAATTCACAGCATTGGTTGATTGTTCAGATGGATTACATGCATTGAATTGTTTCTCTTTACCTCACCCACATACAATTTCTCATGCTCACAAATGGTAATTAGCGCCACATACATATGCGGTCGTACAAATATAGTACGGAGCTTGTACTGTAGAGGATGTCTTCACACAGTGTGAGTGATTCATGGCTCTCCAGATCCCTTATTGAAAACGCTCAACAGAACATCTCGACTGGCTAATGACTCATGCCAGATTCCTTTAATTCCTCCTTGCTGAATTAGACAATTCTTTGACGGTGTATTAGCAGCTTAATTACATGAATACATTTCTGATGGGGGGAGAGAGAAGGAAGAGAACCAGACAAAGAATTAGTGGAGGAGAAGCAGTCAGAAGAAGTAAGGAGCAGTGGGTGTGAAGAGGCTTGCTCTTGGTTCGCTGCGACATCACGTACATCAACACACAACACAGTTTTTGAGTGTTTTTCCACCCAACTCAAAATGAAGAGCTCTTGTATTGGCTGTACTTGAATTGCATTAAAAAAGAATGCCTTGAATCCCCCCTGAAATATTCATATCGTTCCTGGATGTTTCTGTGGATGTTTTTACCCGCCTGTCTAAGGAGGTTAGGTAATTACAATTGTATGTGCTTTACGTAACATTAAAGGCATCTTAAATTTAGCCCACAGTTCACACATCACATAAAAATGCCAATATTACAGTGGTTCTTACCTAGTGTGTATAACCTACTTTTCCTTCCCCAAGTAAACAAGGTTGGAACACATTTGGCCTGTAACATTTTAATCCGGATTTCTCAAAATGGAATATGATTTCACGCTGCTGAGTGCACATGGAGCAAAGTTTACGCGCACTTGTGCCTGGCAGTGCAAGTCATGTGTGCTTGTGTGTGTGTGTGTGTACGCGCATTTTCCTGTCAGAAAATGTACTTTGATTGTTTATGCTTGTGTTTCTGTGCACGGATCTGAACGTGTGAACGAGTTTGGAGGACAGGGCAGCGTTAATAGGGAAAGCAACTTGTCAGGCACTGGAGGGCACATTTAGCAGTTTCTCTGACACAGTGACTTTAATGTCACATGGTTGGAGTTAAGTGAGGAGCAGCCTCCCAGACTTGACCGCAACCTGTTAAAGAGCTTTGCGTTGACCCCAGCCCTGCCTGCACACACCGTCTCCCTACTAAACTTGTAGGAGTGCATTCACATAAGGAAGGATCAGGAAGAGATGGACAGATGTCAGTAATGATTCCTACACAGCTGGACATCTGCCTTGATAGAATTAGAGTGAAGCTGTCATTCAGCTCGAAGCTGTGTGTGTGTATGTGTGAGACAAATTGTGTGCGTGTAAGCACCAGCTATGATGCTAAAGACGGAGAAGGATAATGGAACAGCAGATGACCTTTAGATAAAATGTTGATCCAACACACACTGTGCGTTTACTAACTGAGTCACCCCAGTAACCACCCGACAGGGGGAAAAAAACAGAAACTTCCAAGGCTATCAATTCAACCCAGAAGGTTATGCCCTTACAAAAATGAAAACAACACAATATTTTGCTGTCTTTTCATTTGACACTGGGCTCCATAAGATCTTGAGAGATGCCATATGTTACACACCCACTTGAGCCCTGATTTTCTCCCATGTCCTAATGCTTAAATGTGTTTTTTGTCGATAATTCAGATGTTGATTAATAAATACAGCAAATACAGGATAACTACTTGCATATTTGCCCCGAGGGGCAAAGGCAAAATCTAGTTGATGTGAGTTTTCCACAGCAAGAACTCGAGAGGAGAAAATGAGGGAAAAACATTCAAAAGATACTATTCAGAAAAAGGAAATTGGCAAAAAAGTGTCAAGCTAGGAATAAACAACCCCTCTCACCAAATGCCATCCATTGTGCCTTGTCTAGATAAGGCTTCTAAATCGGGCTGGAAAATGAGAGCTCCATTTCTCTCTGTATGGAATTATTATCCTTTTGTTTAGAGTCGGGCTCTTTTGTCTTCTCTTTCCTGTGTGTGCATTTGTGTGTGTGTGTGTTTGTGTGTATACAAGACACAGGCTGTGGTGCTTAGTAGGTGAACCAAAGAGTCCCAAAGGGGATGCTGCACCCATCTCATGTTTGATCTGGCTTCTATGCTCATTACTGTGACTTCTAGAGAAGCTCTGAAATCTAGTGGTTGTGGCTAAAGGCAGATACCACCATGCGAGTCGGGGTAGTGTGGAACCCAACACATGAGCTGCATGTGTGAGAACCTCTGTGTTTTGTTAGGATTTGGACCATGGTGATCAGCTCCAGCTTGTGTCTTTGCAGATGGTGTCGTCTCTAATGGTACCCATGCAGCCTCACTCTCCAATCCTCTCTCTCCCATGTTACAGTCCAGCTGCACTCCAACCCACCCACTCGCACTATCTTTTCTCCCATTCTGCGTTTTTGTGCCCAAATTGCAGTCTAACAGCTTTTTAAGAGCTGTTGTGCTGGAGTTTAATCCTCCAAGCCTCCCCTTTCAGCCTTTATTCCATTGTGAAAATCTTGGCTCAGACCTAGGCTCCTTTTAGTGAGTGGACCGGCTCAACCCCCCCCCCACCCCCTTCTCTGCTGATGCCCCCACCATGGGCATTTTCTTCCATTCCAACATCTAGCACCATCCTTTCATTCCTTTGCTCATCGCTCAAATGTCTGCTGCCAGTGAGCCATGAAATCAATGCCCAGCAGGACCCCTTTGAGAGTATATAAGGTGTACTAATTGTTGATATTCTTTCTCCATGCCTCTGTCCTGCTATCACTCTATTTTTTCAGACTTTGGCAGCTGTCATGTCTTGCCAGAGTCTTCCTTGAACTTTCTCTCTCCGTCTCTTCCTCTTTACCATCTTGTATCATCTGTCCTTCTCTCTCACTCTGCATCCCTGGTGTGAAAATCACAGGGGTTTGTGTCAGCTTGTCAACACAACACTCAAGAAAAGAGGTTGGGGAGGGGGCAGGAGAAAAAAAAAAGCCATATGTTAGAAAGAGCAGAAAAACTGAGGTAAGGTAAAAATGGAAAAGTGGGCTCCTGTCAGTTTCCAATTGGAAGGGTTGCAGGAGTGAAAAGGGGGGGAGGGGGTTGATGGAATGCTGTAATCAGTCTGTCTCCAAGGCCGTCATCGTGAGGCTTTTCCCCGCTGGG